CGGGACCCCCTTACCAAAACACGACTGAATCGGCTCGCTGAGCGAATCAAGAGTGTGCTGGAAGACGCCTCAGCCGACAGCTGGGATCGACGTCTGGAGGAAGCCGCTGACGACACGACATCACTCCATCGGTTGTGTCGTCAGCTCTCCAAGAAGAAGCCGCCCACGCGACCCTTGCTCCGCACCGACGGCTCCCGATGCTATGACTCTACGGAGAGAGCAGAGATTTTCGCCGAACACCTGGCAACTCAGTTCTCTCCTTACCCCAGTAGAGATCCACGATTCCATGCAGAAACCGAAGCCGCCGTAGCTGAATCTCTCCGCACGCCAATACCGCCTGAGGAAACCCCTCTCTTTTTATCACCCTCCCAGGTGCGAAAAGGGATCGCGGGTCTGAAGCCACGCAAAGCCCCGGGACCAGACGGAGTGACGAATGGGGCACTGCGTCACCTACCGCGCCAGACCATCGCCACACTGGTCCGGCTCTTCAATTCAATACTAAGGACAGGACACTTCCCCGAGCCTTGGAAGAAAGGCGTGATCATCCTTATACCCAAGCCAGGGAAAAGCCCACTACAGCCGGGCAATTACAGGCCGATTACCCTCCTCTCAGCGATGTCCAAGCTGTTTGAGCGACTCCTCCTGTCACATCTCCGGGCGCATTTCCAACCGCGCCCCGAACAGTTTGGATTCCGCAGCGGCCACTCGACGACACTCCAGGTGGCTCGAGTACTCCACCACGTCGCCGCAGCACTCAACAAGAAGGAGAAGATTGTTACCGCATTCCTCGACATCGAAAAGGCCTTCGACAGAGTCTGGCATGAGGGTCTCCTCTGCAAGCTCATCGCCACCTCAACACCCAGGCGCATCGTGCAGCTGGTGGCGTCGTACCTCCGGGGGCGCTCCTTCCGCGTCCGGGTGGACGACGCCACGTCATCCGTGCAGCCAATCTCAGCCGGAGTCCCCCAGGGAAGCGTGCTGTCGCCGTTTCTATACTCGCTGTACACCGACGACATCCCGGTAGCCGCCGGTGCCCATCTTGCTCTCTTCGCGGACGACGTGGCGCTCATCACCACGTCCCTCAACGTCACCCACGCCGCCGTGAAGATGCAGAGGGCCCTCGACGCCTTGCCCCCCTGGCTGGACAAATGGAGACTGTCGGTCAACGTCGCTAAGACACAGGCAGTCTCTATAGGCCACGACCGACGCCCGCCGCCTCCCCTAGTGATGGAAGCCACAGAAATACAGTGGACGGCCAAGGCTAAATACCTCGGTGTCAACATCGACTGCTACCTCTCAATGAAAGGACACATCACCGCCACTATCAACAGCGCCAAGGCCGCGATGGCACAGCTCCGCCCGGTCATGTCATCGAAGCTGCCCCTGCGTACGAAAGTCGGGATCTATAAGACCTATGTTAGGTCCCGACTAACGTACGCAGCCCCGGCGTGGTTCGCCCTCGCCTCAGAAACCCAGCGAAAGAGACTCCGTGTGCAACAGGCGATCTGCTTACGAAGAATAGTCTGTGCTCCTCGGTACGTGAGGAACGCTACCATACAGCGTGACCTCCGTGTCGAGAGCATCGACGACTTCATCCGCCGCTCCAGTAGGGGGATGCTGGAGAGGGCGGACGCTTCATCCCATGCCCACGTCAGGGACATAGCCCCCTGGCACGCCCGCCCACCGGACCGTTATGCGCTCCCTAGGGATCTCCTTTACCAACATGACGCTCAGTAGCCGCCACGGCCGCTGATCGCCTGGCTGGGCCTCCCTGAATAGGGTCTCACCCGGCCGGGCCGATCGCCCGGGCGACTAACATCAAGAAACCTCAAGGGTCCTAGAAGGGCCCTCCCAGCGACGCGCCCATATTTGTGGGCGGCGGAAGAACCCACGGTCAGGGGGCTATGCCCCGATACCGTTTCCCCACTCCCCTTACGGGGAATGTGAGATGACCACGTAGATTTGTGATCATAATAGGCCAAACATGGTTATAGTGATACTACATAGCTGCAACTTAAATAAAAATTATGAATGAATGGTTGATAAAAAATAGGCTAAGTCCTAGGTTTTTCGGGATAATACAAACAGGTACGAGTAGATTTCTATCAGTGAAGCTTACGACAAAATAAAATTATTTTGTTCATTCAGACCCTAATCCTCAAATAGCTTTGTTAAAGACTCAAGAGTACTCGAGATAAGAGTAATCCTTAGAGACGAGAGAGTATCGCAATGACTCGCAAGACCCGACCAATGGGAACGTCGTATGCAGCACGCCTCCATCTCATGAGCGTCATGCTTTGGAGCCATGCACGCTGCATGCCGTCATGCCGCCTACAGATGTGTCAAACGTGAGTCGTGAAGTAATGCCGCTAAATCCCTGTGCCGCGCCTCCTGACGTTGTCAGCAAAGAGGCCTAACTTTAAATCTATACATATAATAAAATTGTAACCAAGCCGAATCTGTATAATAGATATTTTTTGGAAAATCTTATTGAAATAAACATTATTAACGATACAGAGGCCGAATCTATAATTTTTAGAATTTTTGTCTGTCTGTTACCGCAGCACAGAAAAACCACTCGAGGGATTTTGATGAAATTTGGTATGGTGATAGCTGGCCGGGTCAACATATAGGATACTTTTTACCGCGGGAAAATATCTCATTTTTGAGAAAAAAATACAAAAACTGCAATGTAAGAGTATACTAAGAATTTGGTTATTTAAACGCGGGCGGAGCCGCGGGTAATGCTAATACATATTTTTAATAAAATTATATTATTGTCTTTGACTGTGTATGAATATTGAACATTTAGTTAAACATGTTTTTGAAGTTATACTTCTTTTGGCACGTTTGGAAAAAAATATGAGAGTAAAATTTTTACGATGCACGCGCACACCGACAGTCAAAAAGTCATTTGGCATGTCAAGGTGACTCGAACTGAAAAATAAGTTCGTATTTCATACTATTTCGTAAAGATATTTTGGAAAACTATGTTAATATAAAAACGTAACATTTAAAGCATAAAAAAAATTAAAAGTAATTAATCCTGGTTTCTTTTTAGTTCACAAAGTTGCGATCTAAAGGCGAAATAACATGAAATTTTATAAAAGCACTATATTTTTATCATAATGCAGATATTATTAGATAGTGTCCGACAAACAATCTAAATACAATAAGATTCGCTTCTACTTATTTCCTAGATATAAAATATTTACTTAAATGAAATAATTTAAAACAATACTGTTTAATGCTTCTTGAGTATTTGAATGTATATAGATAGATATGTATTACATCAGTCGTGTTCATTCTAAAATGAGTATAGAAACTTAATAATTTTAATTATGTAAATATTTTGTTTCGATACCAAAAAAACTTAGCTAAGTAATCCTTTAATTATTATTTTTTTCTACTCTTATAACAAATGGTTTAAAGTATACACTTGTCTAACAGAATAAACTCACGTAATGGGAATACAATTAGCGCAACAATTGCAATACTTTGTGTAACCAAACTGATATTGTTAAATAAAACGTGTTTAATCATCTCTAATAGACAAGCTTGACCATTTGAATATTCAAAGGCATTGTTGGGGAAGCTTGGGCAATATATCAATATTACAGTGAAGGACTTCGCTAAAATTTCTATTTTCGATTTTAACTTCTAAAATTTATTTTAAATAGGTATATATAACCTACCTACATATTTAGATAAATATTATTTTATTAATAGATATGTATCACAAATAACAATTACAAGTTATTAAAGAATAAATACTAGTGGTGTGGTATAATTTGATATTTCTATTGATATTTGAATATTATTATTTTTTTAAACAATTATGTATAATCATATTAAATTTTAAAAGTTTCATAGGTAAATGAAGTTTTACCAACAATCTAATAAGTATAAAAACTTCTCTGATTAGATATAATAAATTCAATATTTACGGTTAGTATTCGCTACAATTTCATAAATTTTACTCTAAATAATTAAATTTCAGTTTAGTTTTATTACTAATGGGTAATGGGTTTTATCAGATTGCAAATATGAATTAAAATCACAAGCACCTAGCGTGAGAAGAACAGAGATCAACAAAAAATGAACAAAACTTCGTTTTTGGTAATGATGATTTATTTGTCTTGAGCCGTAAACGTGTATGCCCATTGCCCATGCTAATATGGAATTAAAAATTAATAAAACTGTCTATGGCTAATGTCAATGTCAATTTTATCCAATGAAAATAATGTACTCTTGTAGTCCCGATTATCATTGGCTAAAATACGGTCACTTCCAAAATCGTTACTTTTATTTGTCATCCATGATCGTTACTTCCAATATGGCGTGGCAATTTAGTTGTCAAAATATTTAGGTTGCCAGTTAAAGTAGATTACCATATTTATTGATAAAATATACACTTAGGATATAAATACTTTATTTTTAATTTGCATTTGCCATAATTAAAATCAATTTTAAGTGAAATAAAAACAATATTCTATTTTTGGCTTACATTATTAAATAAAAAGCATTTGTATAAATATAAATGAAATTTATTTGTTGTTAATTTACATTGTATATACTAAAATTATTTTACTTAAACCATCTAATATATTGACCAAATGTGTTTTGTTTTTTTTTGAAACAAAGAAATTATGTATTATAATATTATATTTAATAATTTTTTATTAAAACATAAATAACTATTGAAGGGAAAAACAATTCTTTGCTTGGTAACATTAATATGACAGTGACAGACAGAGCTGACAGAACAGTTTGCAAGTGCCAAGTGGTGTCTTTGAAAGTAAGTTGAAGTAACAGAGCGTTCGATCAGTGATAATTTCTTTGGCCGCCATTTTGCATTGCTTAAACATTGTGCGTCGTACATAGTTTTGTAATTATTAGAATCTGAATTGAATCAATCTGTGATAATTTAGTATTTAAGCGTAGCCTTGTAAATTAATTATATTCATAGACTTTTATAAGTTTATTTGTTAGTTTAAACAATGGGTAGAAAGAAGAAGAAGGCATCCAAACCCTGGTGCTGGTATCCTTTTTAACATTTATATTATGTGGTTTACAACATAATCTGTGAATGACCTTCGTGTAAAGCAGCTGACCTAGATATTTTTTGTTATTTTCACATATATTTCGCTTGTAATTTTCTTAACACATAATTTAGGTATTGTAATAGGGAATTTGACGATGAAAAGATTCTGATTCAACACCAAAAGGCAAAGCATTTTAAATGTCATATATGTCACAAGAAATTGTACACGGGACCCGGACTGTCAATACACTGTATGCAGGTATGTCCGCCCTATATTCTTGGCAAACGCCCCGCCCGCCCACGCCTTTCCTCTGCAGTATTTTTTCTGTAGTCAGCATATAGGTTGCGATATTTTGGCACATATCACGCGCCATATTGTGCTTCATAATTAGTAAAACGTAAATATTCGGCTTTTTTCTTCGACATTTCGTGCTAATTGTTGTTTATGTATACATTTGTGTTTTTATTTCAGGTTCACAAAGAAGCCATAGACAAAGTTCCAAATTCATTACCAAATAGGTCAAATATAGAAATAGAAATATATGGAATGGAAGGTATACCCCCAGAAGATGTAAAGGAGCATGAGAAACAAAAGACAGGTATAAAAATTTTTATGGGTTTTGGCTGTTTTTGGATCATAAAGTATGTACAATCATGTTTTATCTTAAATTACTTATGCTTGGGACACTGTAGCCATAGATGTAAATTGATGTGTAGCATTAGTGTTCCAACAAGGTAGGTTCGTTGAAAGTAAATACCTGTGCAAATTTTACCAAAAGTCAATCCTTTAGGTGGGGGGAAAGGTTCAGACAGTGATGACGATGAGCCTGCGGCAAAGAAAAAAGCAACTCCTGCACTGGTAAGAGCTATTTACATACTTTAACTTGAACAACAGACAATATTAATATGTTAATTGGATTACAGGCTAAAGTGAAACCAGTAAGTAATTGCATTGAATTTTTACTAATTCCTATATTTACAACTTGTAAATATGAATGTTAATCAGGCAGTATTATCATACAAAGTATACCAACCTTAGATCGTTTATTTACTGTAATTTAGTCTTTTTTTTTTAACTTGTTATTTATAACATTTTAGGCAATATGAAAGAGTGCTCTTGTAAGTTATAAATATTAAGATTCTATAAGATTTGATTTTTACAAAATTATTTGATTTAATTTTGCTGATCATATTGTAAGGTAAATTCTATTTTTTAGATACTAATTATAATTAAAATAATGAAAATTAAATATACTGTCAAATCAATGTATTGCATACATAAATTAAAGTCCTGTTGTTTATTTTTACTGTGACATAGAGATGTTTTATCAACATAAAAGGTTTTATGTCACAGTTGGGTCCCGGGCCATCAACAGTGACACCTGGCATTCTGCCGACTCCCATGGGACCTGTTCCGCCTGGGATGTACCATGCACCCATGCAAATGAATCCTATGATGCAGCACTTTATGCAGGCACCTAGGTGAGATTGATTGTTATTTTAATAAATATTGATATGTATTTGTACTTTAATAATATTTTAACATAATTATATACGAACAATAAGGAAAAATATATCCTTTAGCAATTATTATAATAAAGGGAATAAGTAAGCAAACCTTTGTGCTGTATTTTTCTATACTCTTGTCAAGCACAATGAGACTGGTACAAAAGGATAGAAGATATTAGAACAAAAAAAGTCAACAATATTTTCAATGTCATTTACAAGATACTCAATGGTCTGTATGTACAATTGATATATGTAAAGATTACAATAGTTAAAAATAAACCGTTAGGGTTTAGTTATGAAATAATAGTTCCCATACTGGCATACTATAGTATTTTTTACCTCCAATATGAAAAGAATGATTAGTGTTCCACATTGCCGATGCTTTTTGCTTGTCCTATATGCCAAATACACCAGTTTCATTTTGTTACAACAAAAAACTAAAATTATGTATAAGTAAATTAAAATAAATATGAAATTAGCAGTACCCGTGGCTTCGATCACATTCAAACTTCTGATGTAAACATCAGTTTTACATTATGTATAGAAGTCTGACTGATTTGTTGACATTTATGATTACTGCTCTGCTCCCTTTAGTAGTAGCATGATGATATATAGCCTATAGCCTTCCTCAATAAACGGGCTATCTAATGCAAATAGCATTATTTCAAATCGGATTAGTACTTAGTTCCTGAGATAAGCGTGTTCTCAATCAAACAGACTGTTAGTATAGATTGTTTCATTTATTCAGTTATTTTGTATTTCTAGAATGATGATGCCCGGTATGAGGCCACTGTTCCCAGCGGCGAGTGTGCCCACGTCACAGCCGAGCAAACCTACTTTCCCGGCATACAGGTTGAATACTAATTAATATTCTTAATTAACTTCTTTAATATCTATACTTTTTAGTCTTTGGGGAAGAAAGATGTAGCAATTTTTTGTACCTGTTTTTTTTAATATTGCAAATAATGTATAAAATTAAATTCTTTGCAATGTGATTTTTTTTGCAGAGTGAATGATTTAAAAATTGTGATTCTCTTTCAATCTTTGCATGCTACTTTTATAAATACAAATAATTATTCTACTTTAGCGAATATATATATTTCAACTAGCGACTCACCCTCGCTCCGCTCGGGTTCGTCCCTAACGTGGGCCACCCTTATCACTTAGGGGTATGGAAAATAGATAGTAGCCAATACTCAGATCTACTGAATACGCATATAAAATTTGGTAAAAATCGGTAAAGCCGTTTCGGAGGAGTACGGTAACTAACATTGTGACATGGAAATTTCATATATTAGATAATCAAAATGACCTATTTGTAATTTTTTATTGGAGAAGTATATGTACATTTTTAGGTGACAGGGTATTAAAAAATGTTAAACTTATCAACAATTTCATTTAAATATGTATCCTTAACAAATGTCAGTATACTTTATTTTTGCATATAAATTGCTACATTCACCTATTCTGTCAACAGTAACGCAACAATAAGTGCACCACCGACCACTTCGAGCTCAGATCCAAAAGAAAATGGCGACGTGAAGCCTCCAGCCGCGAATGCGTGTCCGCTCGTCACTGCCACCGGTGCGGGCTCCAAAATAATACACCCGCCCGAAGATGTATCATTAGAAGAGATACGGGCTAGGAATATAAAGTATAGACCAAAACCTAAACCAGATGCACCCGTCACTCCAGCACCACCCACTATGATCACACCGAGTACGAGTCAAGCTGAGGTGTGTATTTTAACTGCCTTGTTAGTCTAGTAACTAGTATGTATATAGATTGTAGTCCTGGGTTCGAGTCCTGGTTAAACCAAAACAGTTGGGTTTTTGTCATAAAATGCTCAGTAGCTTTTGAGAGTTGGGAAGTTCACATTGATTTATCCCATTGCCTCATAGAGCATATTAAGCGGTACTGTGCCTGATTTCTTACAGGTCGTGTGGAATTTTAGTCCCACTGGAGTGTGAGAATGTCAGGAATAGAGTGCACATTGTTTAAGTGCATTTTTGTGCACTATAATATCTCCTGGCAAGTCTTGGTCAGGTAGATGTCATATTATGTTTATCTGTACAGTCTAGTAATAATTTAACCTCCATAACTAATTTACATTTTAGGAATCGGTTTAAAGGTATTCTGTCCAATAAAAAACAATCACTTACAGTAGAGATGGTTGTCATTCGTAAAGCTATTTGTTTTAAGTTATGTACTCGTTTAATGTATTTTATTTTAAATCAGGTAGTTTTGATTATTATGATCTGTAAGCTCAGTCTTAAATATGTTAAATGAACTGACATATTTCAAAATAGGTGTTAAATTATTATGAAGCTATGCAAGTATGCATCTTCATAGATTTATTTTTGAGAAATTGGGTTCTCTCTGGTTTTAAGTTAAACTAATAAACTTATATATGTAATTCTATTTATTTATTATTTTGTTCTATAAATCAAAAATAATTATTCAAAAGAAATCATTCAGGCCATGGAACAGGACAGGAAAGACATTATTAAAGTGTGTTGTCATATAGCAGTACATGTTAGTGTAATCTAATTTTCGTAACAGATTTTCACTAAGTAATTTCCACTCTATTTATTTAACTTCGTCTATATTAAAGTAGCATGATCTACAAATCAAAAATCACGCACACAAATTTACGATATATCCCTTGCAGGGTAGGCAGAGAGACGATAGTGCCAAGTGCTATGATCTCTACATATCTCTTTCACCACCATTGTTATCATTCTCTTCATACACGCCCATAAAAAGTTCATTAAAGTATAAAAATACTTTCTTTTCAAAAGTTTTTCCAAGTTTCCCATTCCTCTCACTCACAACTTTCCATTCACTCTCTCACAGTATATTTTTGGCCAGTTTTTCGTCATTCATTCTTTCTATGTGCCCTAACCATCTCAGCACATTTTACTTCAATTTTTATTATGACCAAACTTTTAACCAATCTAATATTATTACTAGCAGAACTCACGGCTACGCCCGCGTTTAATCTACAATGAAACTCTTTGGCTTTATGTTATATACAGCTATGTATTTCTTTAATACTAGCGACTTACCCTCGATTCACTCGGGTTCGTCCATAGCTTGCTTCCCAAAACAAACTTTCATCCCCATTTTCACCCCCTTAAGGAATGATTTCAAGGTTAAAAGTATCCTATGTCTTTCCCAGGGTCTCAAACTATCTTCTTACCAAATTTCTTCTAAATCGGTTCATTCAGAGATCACCCAAATATAAAAACAAATAAATATTTCCTCTTTATAACATTAGAATAGATATACGATTGTGCGCTCCAGGTGGCGGCGCACATGTCGGCGGCGGTGGCGGCGGCGCGGCAGATGCGGCGGCCGATGATGCAGCAGGTGGTGCTGCCGCAGGTGCGCGTGGGCGTGCCGGTGTCGGTGCCGCCCGTCATGGGCATGCTGCCCGTCATGCCGCAGTTCAACCTCATGAGGCCCCTGCAGCCCGGTCAGTATCCTTGACACCCCTTGGGTGGGTACCCACACTAGCTGGACGTTCTGCTTTAGATCAGCGGTTCTCAACTTTTTTTTGGCTACGGAACCCTAATCCTATTAATATTATAAACTAGCGACTCACCCTCGCTTCGCTTCGAGTTCGTCCCAAAACAACAACAAACCTATCCCACGGAAATCGTACATTTTTCCGGGATAAAAGTAACCTATGTGCTATTTCAGACTATAATCTATCTCTGTGCCAAATTTCATCCAGATTCGTTCAGCCGTTTTGCGTGATTAAGAAACAAACATCCATACATAATTAGAATATTTTCTTCTTTGTCAAGACAAAGAACAAATCATAAATGAAAAATATATAATACTAGCAGAACCCGCGGCTTCGCTCGCGCTAAAACTGCGAAAAAATCTTTAAAAAGGTAGTTTCATACAAACTTTCATGTCCTATTTAATCCCCTTATACGATGAATTTCGAAAAATGCTAAAACACATATTTATTTAATTTTATTGAAGAGTATTAATGCTAATTTTCAAGTAATTCTGATCATAAATATTTTTTTGGATTCTATTATAACGTGTTTTCCCTCTCGTCCCTGTGGGAATTAGATAAGCTCCCGCGGTAAAAAGTAGCCTATGTTACTCTCCAGCTCTGTAACTATCTCCAAACAAAAAATCAAGCCAATCGGTCACTCCGTTTCGACGTGAAAGCAGGACAGACAAACAAACAAACACACTTTCAAAGTTATAATATTAATATGGATTTATTGTATCAAAAATTTTACCTATTTAATATGATGAACCTTTTTCATATATTTATAATAGCACTAAAATTAGATTTCATGTCTGACGTTTTAATTCTCGGACGAAATTCGAAACCCTTGTGACCCTTCCACGGAACCCTAGGGTTCCAAAGACCACTGTTTGGGAACCGCTGCTTTAGATTATTGGTATTATATATACTCTACTATATTATAGAGTATAGTGGGAGGTTTCATAATATTTAATTGATTGACTGATTGTATATGATTTTTGTGAGAAGTGGCAGTGTAAAGATTGAGAAATGTTTGTTTAATTCATCATTACTCGATAGGTGGCGTTAGTAGTATTCTGAATCGCGCATTACGTTTTGATAGAGGTATATACATATTTCCTGTATTATTTTATATTTTTAGTAAGTTTAAATAATTGATTAATAATCGCACTAAACCATTGGAAAATTAGCTATATTGTCAGAGAACCTTCAGAGCTATTCATATTATTATTAAGCTCTCACTAAAAAGGAAAATGAAAAGAATATTTACAAATATGTACATTTTTTAATTTTTTACTTACAACTGGTAACATTGGCAATGAAACCTCCCATTTCTAATCGTTTTTTTTTTTCAATCGAATCAGTATAAGTAAAATATATCTAAAATCAGAACGATCAGCGATCCATCGCGATTTAAACATTCTTCCAAGGCCTATAATGTGTATCTCTTTTGTAGATGATATTGAATGTCTATGCTATATTAGGTCATATGTTGTCTCGAATATAGTCTGACCTAAAATTGTTTGATATATCAATTGTTAGTATGTAAATCTCGATCATATCTTTATGAAATATTTTATGTGAAAATCACACTATTAAAAAATTGTATTTTTGATGTTAACATAGGTCTCAAGTTTGTTATTAATATAGTGTTAAGACAAAGTATTTTTGTGTCATCCTAAAGCTAATATAAGACTGCGAATTGGAACATTCCAGAACACTTTTAGATATATTTAGAACCTACACCCGTATTTTTTACATTGATTACAACAAGTTTGTACCAACGATTGTCACGGTACTGACAAGGCATTTACTTACTCTAACGTGATAAGTGGGTGGATTTGTTTAGTGCATAAGTATATTTTAAATAAGAATTTACCTAGCATCACTCAACCAATGTAATAAATACTGTACGAATCAGAACTCTGTTAACATATCGGCGTGGAAAATGGGAGTGGCTGTTGCATTTAGTTCTGAAATAAACTTTAACGACTTCGTGTAATTTTATTTCTGTTTTCCACGGCAGCACCGAACAGTTATCACATGGTTTATGTTAAACGATTCATGGATTGTTTTAAGAGCGAGGCCGAGCTCGTCACTTAGTTCGCTAAAGCCGCCGGCCTCGACGCCTGCCGGCGGGTGTTCGCTCATACTGCGACTATGCGACCGACATACTAACGCTCCTCACCCCCGGAGGTGCGAGCGGTAACATTTCACTTGGATGGATTCGCTTACACCGTAGTAGCTCTATCAGCTATCTCTACATATATTACCGTCTCGTTCTCTCGTAGTCAAAGTAAGACGCGACTGTCGGTCGACGGGTGGGTACACTAATATTATTTACGTACAAGTAGTTTTGTCGCTTTACAATGTGCATGTCGAGCCGACGGGCGCCTCCGCCCCGGCGCGCCCGCCCCCGGGGGCGGCGGGGCGGCGCCCCCGGGGGCGGCAGGCGGCGCCCCCGGGGGCGGGCGGGCGGCGGCGGGGGCGCCCGCGCGTCACACGGAACGTGCATGAGCGGATATATCGGCGAGTACTTTGAAAGTGTGACTTTTCATGTGAACTATATTTATATATTTTGTCAGTGGCGGATTTACAATACGCTGCTGTAGGTCACGTTTCACTTTTTTTTAGACCTTATTTTGACTTCAATTCTTGTATATTGTACTACTTATTTTAGTGAAAATGTCATATTAACGTAACTCTCACGTCACAAATTTCAAAGTTTGCACAGTAGGTAAGTTACGTGAGCAATTGTGGCGAGCAACTCCCAAACTATTGCAGGACTTCACAAGGTTTCGACTGTTCATCGACAACGTTCCGATTAATATGACACGTTCACTAAGTTTCGGGCCGCGTCAGTCGCGGCCCGCTGTTTTTCTAGTAAAAATTAACCTTCCACCTAGTACTAGACATACTTACTATATTTACTCGTGTACCCGGTGCGTGGTGAATCCGCCACTGGTCGAGGGCGGGCGGTTCGGGCGGCACGCGACAGGCGATTGTTGACTGCGCAGTCACCGCGGCTCGCCGCGCGTTGGACGAGAGTCCCCTGTTGCGTGGCGCCCGGCCGCCGCTCACGCGTGTGCTTGTGCAGGGATGCTGCTGCCGGGCGGGATGGGCGGGATGAGCGGCATGGGCGGGATGGGCGGGATGGGCGGCGTGATGCCGGTGGGCATGTTCCCGGGCGGCATGGGGTTGCCCGTGATGCAGCCGCGCTACCGGTAGCCAGGTAAGGCTGGGCCGGCAGTTCCCTGCCACGCAGGCGACTCCGTCACAACGCGCGTTGTTGGATTGGCGGCCCCTCGTGTCGTATCGCATCGCCCCTTCCGACGTGTGTTACGACGATCGTACGATTTTGCCTTGAAATTTTTTTCTTAAGCGTTTCCACGTGAAGTTGTGACGTTTGCCTATTCTTGTAGAATTTTGACCGTTTTACTCAATAAATGCTCTCGATTTGAATGTGCGCTTTTTATTTGTTAGCCCGTCGGCTAATTATGTCTACATAATATGCACCTTAGATATCTAGTGCTTACGACGAATCCGTCATCTGCCACATCACGTAGCGGACACACACACACATGTCGTCGGTGGCGGATTATATTTTAGAGAATGATTTACTTATATGGCATATACTTTTTAACTCTTTATGTATATTCCAAATTAGATAACCTTGTTTTTTTTTTTGTTATTTAATTAAACTTCGTATAATACTTAATAGTGTCGTATATTTGTAATTGTTATAATAAAAGGTCTCGAATGTATACATAACACTTGTATATTACACATCTAACTGCTAAACTGTATGAAGAATATCGATACCAATACCCTAAGTAACATGTCTAATAATTATTATTAATAATTCTAAACATCTAGTATCACCATCGAACCAACGACAGAATTAAACATCCCAGTAAAAAATCACAACAGATATTTTAATAAGTAAACAATATCACTATAATTGATTACAACTAAAAATATTTCAACAAATAATAAAATTCTAGATACATACACGGCAACACTGTAATGCTTTTGTAATTCCCAATATTGTAAATATTTGTAAAAAAAAAACACAGTCTATAGAAATAGCCTGCATTGACTAAGCGATTGTATCATTTTATGCGCTATTTGGTCTGAAGATATCCAATATGTAATACAAATTACGTCTAATTTTATATTATTTATCAATATAAAACTACAAAATTTGAGCGCTTACAAGATCACAATACAACACAGTACAGAACACCCACACTCTAACATTCACTAGTCCTATAATATTGCTTGTACAAAATGTGGCCACGTAACTAAAGCTAACCAATCTTTTTCGATATGTAATTGTTCGTTTGAATGCGAATTGTATAAATTAAATCACAACCCTTCTATGTAAGAACACCCTAAAGGCATGTTCGTCGGGTATCTGTTATGGACTAGCAATGATTACACTTTATATATGTCTCAGATGGATTGTGGAATCCGCTGTTTTATAAAACCGCTAGTTGTTTTACATAGCTCCGTTGTGTAAAACAACTAAACGATTTTTTTTTATAATCACTCAACTTTAATACGCAATATTGTGTGAACGTTTTGCATTTATCAAAGCGGCGGGTCAACGATTTGTGGTTACATAAAACAGCGAAAAATAAAAAGTCAGATTATAGATGTTTAAGTTCAAAAATTACTATTTTTGATTTCCGATTAGGTGACAGATCCGACTTGAATAACGTAAGTTGAGTTACGCTTCGCTCCCGCCTTAGCCTACTCGTTAGATCTTTTTATTTCAAACCCAGAACCCCTACTATTTATTAAAAACTAATAGCACATCCAGCGAATGCTGTTCAATTGTTTTACTTACATAACAAAGCTGTTATATAAAACAACTAGCGGTTTTGTAAAACAGCGAATTCAACAATCCATCTGCGACATCAATAAGAATACACGTGGGAGACTAATCTAAAGAACCATGGTTAGATCTATGGCACCATATAAGAAGAGATTTGTGGATTAACAATGAATACGGTAAGCTATATAACGTCGTAAGTATATATAAACTTTTCCTACCGCCATTACTTAAGTTCATACCTCACTGCAAACTAATCGTTATTTTATACACTTTGTTACATAGAATCAATTAAAATAGACCCAAAAGAGAACAATGCACGATAGTTCGCGATGAGATGGAAACTTGACACTTCATAGGACTGTTCCTGCGAAATATATAAACTTATAATCTCAATCTACCTACACAATAACTAGGAACCTACATTATCATACCCCTCACATTTGGTATTTTAGTAAACATTTAATAATTGAATATATATATATAAATAGAAATGTTATCGAAGATTATACTAAGATTTGTCGAAAATGTCGGGAGAAGTCGAAATGTTTCTAATTACTTCGAAGGAGGGCGATAAGGAGCGTATTAAATCAGGACACGGGGTGTTCGTTCGGGTCATACTCTCGAAACGCTCCCTCATGGCAGCCACGTGGCCGGCCATCACGCTGTTTCTATCATCTCTGTCCTTATCAGAGTCCTCGCTTTGGCCTCTATCTAAAAAATCTGTATCTGAAAGCAGCGACACTTCAGACGAGGCTGTGTAGTACATTTCACTGACCGGCTCGCACTGCGCCAGTTCCACTGTGATAGGTTCAGAATCAGAAACCACGGGTTCTTCAACGGAAGGATCACACCACGTCTCCGCCACGAACGTTTCCACTTTAGTGACCACCACTTCAGTTGGATCAACTAGCACATGTTCTAATTCAGAACAGTCTTCATATTCATTATCGTCGTACGACGTCTTCATCGTCTCGCATAGTTTATTGATGGCATCGACGACATCTCTCAAGTCGCTGACATCTTCCGTGGGCATGGATACTTCATCTATCGGTAGGATTGTGAGGTCTTGTTTACGTTCGGGTGCCACGTTAGTGGGTCGTACCACTTCATCTACGGGGAGCTTATCTAGTTTGGTGTCGGGTTTGCGTGCGACCGTGCCGGCGGGGCGCAGCAGCGCGTGCGCGACCGACAGCAGCGCGTGCGCGGGGTGCGCGTGCAGCAGGGGGGCGGCGGCCCCCCGCGCGCGCTAGCACGCCGACGACGTGCCCGACCACCCCTCCAGCGGCAGGCGCAGCGGCGGCGCCGGCGCCTGCGCCTTGCTCACTACATCACACACATTTACCCTCATTATGTTATTTATACACGAAAACGATGATCGCTATTTACATTATCGGTTAAAAGGTACCAGAACAGTATATTAATCCATAATTTATAAAGCCTCTGGAATTTAGATAGTCATGACTTACTTATAAATTACATTCGAGAAACGGCTTTATCGTATAACTTTGAAATCGTTCGCGATAAAAATTGGTATTAAAAACATACTCGTTAAAATCAATGTGGAACTACTGTTTGGATTTTTATACTGTGGTACTTACTATATACAAAGTAAAAAAATATTAATTTTCCATAAACACGTTATAGCCACTTCGCAATGTATTAAATATTTTTATTTTAAAGTTACTTACTTAATACTTTACGAAGTGACAAAAAAACTGTGTTATTACACTATTAGTGTATCCAACCAAAAAAAACCATAATTAGATCACTGGTAAGTATATATTTTTAGTTAAACGTTTGGCAATCGGTGTTTTATGTGTGTTAGGTATGCAATGTGGGGATGCAATTAATGTGGTTATGCGCTGTGCATTTTGGCTTTCTCACATGCACGATGTATTAAACTAAGATCTACACGCATTCAAAATACATTGTTATGTCGTAGATTAAAACTAAATATTAGGAGTAAATATAATGTTAGTACATAATCTATGATAACATGCAAACAATGCATCATGCTTTAAAGCTATTTCATCGCAACAACATTCCCTATATCGAAAATAGAACTTACCCATGCACATATTTGCTGATCGACCAGTAAACGGATGAGTAAAAGAAACAACTAGTTTTAAAGTTATCTAGAAAAAGGTCATTTTGATAGTACAATAAATGTACAACTGTTTTGTTTTTTTTTTTTGAAAAATAAGCTGAGACGTCCACATCGAAGCGACACAATATTTTAGGTTTATCAATGAAATATTTGACGTTTCAATAATTACTCTTTTATTGGTTAAAATTAATTTAAATCAAAAGGATCATAGTACAATCGTAACATGTATCACAATAACAGTTGCATATCAACGCAAAAGCGCTCTCCAAGCAGCCACCACAAAATGGAGATTTTAATCAGCCCGTTTAAAAAAAAATAAGCCATCAAGCAACTACCATATGTTATTATACTCGATTGGTATATGCAAATATATGACCGAGAAAAATGAACAGTTTGCAGTAGCGCTTTAGCTTCCAACTATTAAAAAAAAAAACAATTTGTTATGGCAACCCTTACTAATGTCACTTGACCCGTGCGTCAAGACATGTGACATAAAATGGGCGTAAAATTAAAAAAATATATATATTTTAAAATTACATCCCAAGAATGAGGTTATACGAATGAAGAAATTAAATTGTATTTAAGTGATAAAAATATTTTATAAGCAAATTGCAATAATGGCACTTTACTACATTAGACAAAATTACAACATTTTTTATAGACATTTTATAGGTATAACATTCCTACGTGCAAGGTTGTAGGCGCAAATAATACGTACAAAAAGGTAAGAAATGAAAAATAAATATTAAAAATAGAAAAGAAAAAATAATTATTATTACATAAAAAAAAAATACTGTTTATCAGAAGCATATGATGGACAAATAAAACTTGCCTTCAATACGTAGAAAAAACGCCCCAACCTATCAATCTACGCTGACATAAATTTAACTACAGATAATACGAGTTTTATGACTCAATACAATACTACCACATCACTAACGTTAACAACAGAGCTAACAACACAGAACGAGAAATTAGCCTTTTTTAAATATAATTTTTCTTATAAATATAAAAATATTTTGGTCTAATGTGACTCAAACATGAAGATACATGATACATGAAGTGAGCATGATTATTATGCGAATGGAAAGTAAAACACGCATTGCCATTCAACTAATAAGAAGTTTCAAATTTATTTTTTACTAAGAGGCCACTTGAATCAAATTCTTGATTTGAATTAAATGCCCCAAATATTATATTTAGCAAACGTCAAATACTGAAATTTGACGTTTGCGAAACATGTTAAAGACCAATATGATATGCAAAATTAACAAAAGAATGTAATTGAATTGATATTTAAATCAAATCAAAAATTAAGTGCGAGTGACTCTAAATTTGGAATGATAATCTCAAAATGCATTTAACTTTGTTCTCTTCAATTGTACTCCGGTACTTAATACTTATGAGCAACATAGAAAAAGAAATACTATGCTAATGACAAACATATTAAGTCGAAATATAATTAAAAAAAAATTAATCTATACCTCATTTATAATCTATGATATTGTAAAAAAATATAATATTTTAATGTTACCAGGACATCACACATGCATACAATCATGCACCATAATCGAGACTAAACTTGCTTAACAGTAATTAACAACAATACCCCTATTTATTGCTGATGTCTTATATATAACTTATATGTCACCTTTGACGATTTAATTTACTAATAACATACAAGTTAAAATATAAATAATTAATTTTATAACATCATTTTATATTTATATCAACTTTTACTAGTTTTTTCTTCATTATGATTATTGAAAACTTAGCCCTGACTTGTATCTAACAACTAACCTAAATGTACAAAAATCTATAAGTTTGATTGTATTCACTACGATAATAATGTCGGCGCCAGACAAGGTATCTGAGCATATTATTTGAATATATACTTTTCTTAGGCCCATGTTCTTTAATAAAATAAAAAAAAAATAACAAAATCCCAAACTTTTAATGTTCATGCACATAGGCAAATGTTGCCAGATTAAATTCAATGATAATCCCATGAAAAAAAATAGAATATAAAAAAGCTTTTAGGCAAACATAATACAATTATTTGTAACCTACTCAAATGTTTTGCATGCATAAATTTTGACATTACATACATACATTTCTGGCGCCGGTCTAAAGAGCAAAGATTGTGCGTTTCGCTCTTACTTATTATCATGTGGAGTATTGATTTATATTTATTAAACTACATTTTTTTAATCTGGCGAAAATTATTTCTTGGATTTTAAACCATCTTTAACTAGTACGGACATTTGAAATGTAAGTAGTTTAGGCTAGATATGATATCTAAACAACGAGGTCTTGTAAAAAGAAATCTTAATTATAAAATAAAGATAAGTAATTGCAGTCAGACTAATAAATGATACTTTATCTTATCAATAGCTTGAAAAATAAAACTATTATATATTTAATCCAATTTTTGAAAGGCATGTATGAGTAGCAATATGTATTTCATATAAATGAAGACATAACATGGAGTCTAAGCTGCACAAATTGGACAAAACTGCTATTAATAAATTTATTCATTACCATACAACGTAGAATACATAAATGTCACTTTATAATTTCAACATAACAGCAATTTTGTATTAACCAATGTTGCCAGATACCAATTTATACCAACAAATTCCATCAACGGAAACATATCAAAAGCTTCCATAAAAAACCACCAAACTCCCATACATTATCATATCTGGCAACTCCAAACGTCATCGGTGACACATGACGTTACAAACGTCACGCGTAGGGATGTAACTTGGAGGGGAAAAATCGATTTTTCTCTCTTTAAAATAAATCGATTAACTAAAGAATTATCGATTTTTTATATTTATAAACAGATGGCGCCATTTTTCGACTGACAATTTTTTTTCGTTTAGTGACCACGTGTTTTTTCATTTATCACACAGATGGCGCTGTTTGTAAAATTAGATTAAAATGTGTAGTTTGGCTACATTGGTTTAATCCAACAACGCATATCTTATCTTTTTTACATTAAAAAAAAGAGATTAAGAAGTAATATAATCGATTCATTAAAAAATGATTTTTAATATTTAGAGAATCGATTATAAGAAAAAACAATCGATAATTTTTGACATCCCTGGTCACGCGTACTTACCGGCGACGGTGGAGCTGCTGTAGGCCTTGGCGATGCGCAGGAAGGGGTCGGGCAGCGGGAAGCTGTGCGGGGGGTGGAACAGCTCCGCGAAGCGCGCCTCCAGCTCCGACCGCATGGACGACCCGCGCACGGGCGGCGGCGGCGCGTTGGCGTCCTCGTTCGCTGTGTGCTGATGGACGACTTTCTATGACTTTTTTTTTCATTACATTAACACAACACCATCTAGTTCCATGGTAAGCTACGAGGCCTGTGTTATGGATACCAGATAGTTGATACATTACACATATATAATACTTTAAATACATAAATATTATAAATATAAACACCTATGGCTGGAGTACAAACATTATGAATGCTCCCAGCGGGATTCGAACCCGCGACCGCTAGCACAGCAAGTTGGGGCACTACAAACTGAGCCAAACGTGTCGTCAAATTGTTGTGTTATTCTAAAGGTTAACTTTTGAAATTAAATTATCTTTATTCAATTAGACTTATTGGTAGGATAAAAAAAAAAAAACCCTCCCAAGGAGGGTTGACATCAGGCAGGCGGCCGGTCGTAAAACTTTTGCCAAATCCTATCAGCAGTACACTGAAGATGTACTGCGCCAACCCCAAGTGATTTGGGAAACGGGCAGGGAGAAGAAGAAGAATTAGACTTATTACAAATGCGTTTAAATCATCAATTTAATAAAAGCGTCAGTGTTGTCAGTCCGTGAGGAAGCTACCGCCGGCTCGGAAAGCAGTTCTGCTGAGAAGAACGGACGAGAAACTCAACAGTTGCTCTTTTAAATATCAAAGTTACATTTATTTTATTAACATAACTTTACACACGGTTCTACTACCTTAGTTCTATTATGTATTACTATATCTTTATGGATTATAGACTCTGATGTCTGAGCTATATTATTGTAAAGTTTCATCAAAATCCATTCAGTAGTTTTAGCTTGAAAAAGTGATAAGCATACATCCTCACAAACTCTCCGTGTTTATTTATTATATTAAATACTAGGATGTCTAATATATATAACGTCCACGATGTGTTGTTTTGGAGGACTTCGTTTGAATGTTTTGTACTAGCGACTTACAATAGTTTCGCTCGTGTGCATCCTTAGATGCCTAACCTGCATATGTGTTCTTTAGCTCACAACCTATCTATATATTAAGTTTCATCCAAATTCGTCCAGCCGCTTGAACCTATGATGTTTAGCCGATATTTGATCTAGGGACGATATGCTGCCTTGCCTGCTTTTTTGTCGGGTTTACATAATTAATGTGACATACACACAACATACAGTTTTATATTTGGAAAACTGCATTAAATTCCGTGGCAGACGTATGAAGCCTATGCACAAGATGTTATAATTTTACAGATTTTAAATAAAAAATTGATACAATAAATTTTATAAGTACGTTATTTAATATAAACATTATTTTTTTGTTATTTTGCGTATGGTTATTGGACAAAAAAATGTTCGCTTCGAATGGCGCCCAATTGCGAATGACTGGCGAGTGAAAAAATTTTTTTTGTGTAATCTGTGAATAGGAGGATGTATTCTTTTTTTAGGGATATCACCATCGATAAAAATATAATGAGGCAGGTATCAGTATGACATCCCAATGCTACCAATACAACAGCTATCAGTATAACACTCAAATGTCCATCCCAATGTCCAATTGTGACAGCCGCCACAATGAGTATGTATGTATGTACTATGTACGTACGTGCAGGCGGTGGTGCGGCGCGGCGCGCGCGGGCGGCGGCGGCGGCGCGCCGGGCGGCGGCGGCGGGCACACGCCGGGGGGGCGCAGCCCGCGCGGCGCGCGCATCGTGCCTGCACCGGGACACCGACACGTTACTCGTTTATGTATTTATATATTATTTAATGTCTCGATAGTGGCAAATCTCACTGAAACTAGCCACGCGCAGGAGATATTATAGTGCACAAGTATCCGAAAATACAGGGTCAAATTAAAAATAATTAATACTTTCGTAGGTTTACGCGAATATTTGACATTTTAAATAAAACTATCTTTTCGGACTGTTATAAAAATATCTTTTCCGTCCGTCCGGTGTATGATGTTTGCTGTAAATCATTCGAAACGTCGGGAACCAAAAATCAAAATAAATCCGCGAAATAGTCCGAAAAGATGGTTTTATTTAAAGATAATTAACTAAAAGGTAGAACACATAAACATTAAAGATACGAATTATAAAGAAGAAGAGATAACGTATGTAGGGGCGTAATCGCATTATATCTAATATAATATACTAATATGATATGCATAAGTATGATAATAATTATGGCATAGTACACGAATTGATTGATTGGTTTGATATAAAAATTTTACATAAAAGAAACACTTTATGAATTAAGTACTGGGTAAAAACTATGAAAGCTTTTACCCAGTACTTATTTCATAAAGTGTGTGTGTGTTTTAACTTACTAAAACACACAATACAAATATAATTTATAGTGTAATAATTTAAATCAGTTCAGTATTATCCGAGTTTACTAATTACAAACAAACATATTCCTCTCAATTTAACCTATATTAATTAGTTTAGATTCTATTGAAGCAACGGTTATCAACCACTCAAAACCCTGCAAATCAATATCGCCATTGATTCGAAAATAAATTAAAAATGTTGAAAAACATTCGACACTTACCAAATAGGGAAGTTTGATTCTTCGTAGCTCCAGAGCCGGTGAGCGGCGGCGGACGAGAGCCGGGAGCTCCGCCGCCGGGCGAAGACGGCGATACTGGCGGGGATCTAAAAACCATATTATATTGATTTAAAAAAAAAAGATTCCGACGAATTTAGAACCTCCTCCTTTTTGGAAGTCGGTTAACAAACTAGCGAGTTACACTGACTTTACTCGGTCATGTTGCCAGGTGCCTAGCAGTAGCCTGTGTTTTACTTTAGGTCAATAGTTTCTGTGCAAAATTGCATCCAAATCCGTTCAGCCTTCACAGCATGAAGGTGTTATAAGCATTTTTTTTTCTTTTCTGCGGTGTTAGTAGCATACACACATAAACACACTCTTATGTGATAAAATCAATTTTTTTCTTAACATTTACATATATGGGAATCTAAAACCCATTCATTAAAAAAGTAATTAAAATCAGTTCGCAATAGGAGAATTTATCGAGTAAAATATACATAGAAATATTTGAAGAATATCACCTATTGTCAACCATTCAAGCCTTAAAATCATCTATCTTTGTACGAGATGCAAATATTACGTAACTGGTCATCACGCTTCGCAGGCTCGTGAACGGGCTGGTCTTAATGAATGCCACGTTTCAGATAGAAAATACATATCTTCATCAAGAAATAATGTTTAATTATCAATACAAACATCCCGAGATGCCCGATGATTCACATTTATAATATTACGGAAATATTCAGTTAAGGTGACCTTTTCCGACTTAATACAAAAATATAATTATATACAGTATTATAAATTTTATAAAAAAATAAGCTACCGAGCGGTAGGTAGCTTATTTTTTAAATATATGTTTAGTTATAACTTGAAACCTTCCGAAAGGATCATTCTTTCTATTAGAAAAAACCGTATGAAAATCCATACAATAATTTCTGAGATTAGCCCAAACAAACAAACTCAATACGGACCTTTAATTTATATTATATATTATGTAATAAAGGCCCTATATACGCCTATAATGGTAACCCGTGGGTAACGCGCTCGCTTGAGAAACCGATTGAAGCGAGTTCCAATCCCGGGTCTCACATCTCTGATATTTACACGTGCGAATCATTCCAACATGAATACCACTTGTCTTACGGTGAAGGAAAACGTCGTGAGGAAACCTGCATGTCTGAGAGAACCTAGCAAGTTTTCGAAAGACATGTGAATTTCGCCAACCTGCACTTAGCCAGCGTAGTGGACTAAGGTTCGTATTAGACGAAGGCCCGTGCCCAGCAGTGGGGCGTCAAAATGGGCTGTATACATATATGTAGCGATAGCATCTAGACACATACCTGGGCATCCTCATACTTTGCGCTCTTGCTGCCAATTTTCCATTGGTGATGAGCTTCTTAGGCGGGGGCGAAGGCCTATCCGGCGCCGGGGGCAGTGCCGGGGGCTTCGGGGCCAGGTTAGGCTTCCCGTGGCTCACTCGCGGTCGTTCCGATAGATCCGACGTAGAGAGGGATGCCGCTGGCGTTGGTGTGGGAGGCGCGGATGATAACGAGGTCATTGAACCTCCTAGAATGGAATTACATAACATACTGTTGTCATCACAATGTAATACTGCTATTGTGGCAAAAATTATCTTTTAGCTTTTTTGCTTTGTCGACGCGTTTTGTATTCAATTTAACTGGGTCGCGCTTTGTCTTCCAAAAAGTACCAATCATTATTATCTTTATGTTTATAAATATAATAATGGCAGCACTAAATAAGATTACTAATTAATTTTTCTATAATAAATGTAGTAATTATAATAATAACAGCCAAAATTAAATAAATAATACACCATATTCAATTATAAAACTTATTAAAATTATAAAAGTGTTAAAACTTAAAATTAACAAGTATTTTAAGGTACAATTTTTGAATTTTTTGAATTTATTTTTGTTAATTTGTGGATAGCCGATAGGCAGTCTGTAACAACTATGTATATAATGCTTTTAAGACATCTTAAACCTTATGTCTCTCCCGTGACCATGATTGCTGTAAAGTATTCGAAACGTCGTGTCGGGAACTAAAAATCAAATTATATTCGCGAAAAAATCCAAAAAGATAGTTTTATTTAAAAAGTACCTAATCAATTAAATATTTTTAGTCCCGCTAGGTTTTTTTCACCAGTTTTTCTCAGTCGAATCGTAATAATTTAATTTGATGTTATTTTTTTAACACCTCCAGGTAAATTTCTAAGAAATTAATTAAATTTCTAAGAAATCTATTGTTAACTGTAACGCCGCGCCGGCGTGCCCGCGATCGTTGAGGGATTTGAATTGGTATATATATCAAACATTCACATATGACCTGGAAACTGGCGCCTAAAGATGAAATCAATAGTGCCAGATAAAAAACCAGGAACAGAACAGTATCAATTAATATTCTTTCAAAATATTGATGATGATGTTCTCCTGACCGATTCCGGCCACGGCGGCCAATCTCATTGAGACTAGCCAACAGCGCAGGAGATATTATAGTGCACAAGTGTACGCGCAGACACAAGTGCACTCTCTATTCCTGTCACTCTCATACTCCGGTGGGACGACTACTCGACACGACCGGTGAGGGTTAAGGCGCAGGACCGACGGCTTTACGTGCTCTCCGAGGCACGGGGGTGAAACACCGCCAACTTCCCAACTCCGGGCTGTTACTGAGCCTTACTATACAGAAAGACTCAATAACTAAACTAGGCCCGACCCGGGATTCGAACCCAGGACCTCCGGGTGTGCAGCCGTACATGCTAGCCACTACACCACCGAGGCAGTTGAAAATATTATTAGATGTGTTACTACAACAATGGATACATATTTAGTTTATATAAATTTTATTAGGTATTGTTTTTATTAAAATTTTGGTATGAATGCTTAGATAATAACTTACATACAATTTATATATAATGTGTACGAAGTAATCATGGCGGACATATTTATATGGTCAACTTCGATATGATCGTGCTATATTCGAAGTTCATTAAAATTGACTACTTTATTGTTTAGACGAAGCCGTCTTCTATTATGTCTTGTTATAAAATTTTAAGAAAAAAATAGAATGCCATAACATTTAAAAAAAAAAAGATCTCAGATTCAATTCCTTTAGGTATTCGTTAAACTGTTATTGTCGTGATGTGTCAATTCGAGAACCGTGACAACGTACATTGTCTTATGGAAATAAACGCAGGAAAATAGGGGACACTGCGATTAGGCATTACTGTAACTGGGCCAATGCTACAAGGGATATGTAATGAGGATATATATATATATATTATTCATTATGAATGATTTCATCTTCACACTTTTCCTTTATGCATTCGACAGTTAGATAATAATAGTAATTCTCAGTATATCAGCCGCCATTTGCCAAAATAAACACAAAAATGTATGTTCCATATTAAAAATTTATTTAAAAATGAGAACCTTCCTTCTTTGAAGTTGGCTAAAAACATTGGAATTTTTCGTCTAGTATCAAAACTTTCAATACAAGCGAAACGTGTCAGTATATAAATATTCTGTTAGTATGCAGAGAAATTTTCGCGGAGAGCGTAAAAAAATATTTTTAGATTCCCATAATAAGTGGATCAAATTTGTACTTGAAATTGATATATTCTGTAATTGATATATTCTGTAATTGAATTAAAAAGTTAAAATCATCAACAAAAACAACAAATACAACTCACCCAAAGAAGTCTGGCTTCCGGAATGCAGAGTACTCTTGTTCCGGTGTAATGTAGAGGCGACATGAGACGGCAGCGTTTGTTCCGACGTTTCATGTATTTTTTTTAATCGATCCGATATAGAACCTGTCGTAAGCACAGAGTCTGATGAACTCTGAAACAATACAACAGAATTATTACTTTCTGAACTAAAATTGTATACAAAATATTTTTCAGTTGGAAATAAAAAAAAAATTACATATTGTTGTCTTAGAAAAATCGTAAACATATAAAAAGACCTATTCAGTTTCTCCTTGTAGTGAAAGCGCCTTAAATCACACTTCATTTATATGTACTTAATGGATTAATTTGAATAAAGTATTACAACTTAGAATATATGTGGGTAAAACAAATCATTATAAAACAATAATTATTTATTATTAAACGTAAAAAAATAAAAAGACTGGTTAAATTATGAATTTCGAATAATGTTAACGATATATATTACTCTTAGACCAGGGTAGAAGCCTTTAAAAATAATAAAAAGTGAAAAAAAAATAATAGTACCATAGCCCACCGAAGTGGGCAACCTCCCTGTACGTTTCTTAGCTTCGCTACTACTACTGAGCCCCCCCCCCCACCACGACAAGGTGAACGCACGTTGGGGGAGGACTATAGTAACATATGAATTTTTTTTTCACCATCGGAAAGTAGAGATTTCAACAAACAGAAAACATACCAACTTTTTGAAAAAAGCTGATATTTTGACGGGTGAATTTTCGATTGAAAATGAGGGTGCTTTTTCGGCATTAATTCAAAATAAGGTGAAAAAATAAATATTTTTAATCAAATAAATTACAGCGTGTTTGGGACATAAAAAGGTAAGTTTTCAACAAATTTCGTTAAAACAAAAACATTTTTGTAAAAGATAAAAATAAAAAACCAAAAACTTGGTTTTTTGAATTTTTCACATAAATTTTGAGGTTATGTGAAAAAAGTGTAAATACAAAAGTTTTAGATCTTTTTATTACCTACAACTTTGCCATTTGATTTTTTTCGATAGGACTTTTAGTTTTGCCGGAAATCGAGAAAAACCGTTTTTTACCCTTAAAAGTTCCACCCCACCACCAATCCATTACTCCATATCAGATTTATTTATTTTCATTCTAATATAGCAGCATTTGTAAGCTTTGGAAAGATACGATTTTGAAAATAAATACAAACTACACTACGTCTACACTACTAACGTCCCACCGCTGGGCACGGGCTTCCCTTCAAATACGAGGGGGATCAGGCCATAGTCCACCACGTTGGCCAAGTGCGGGTTGACGGACTGCACAGTGCACATGTCTTTAGAAAACTTGCTAGATTCTCTCAAACATGCAGATTTAAATACGGTGTTTTCCTTCACCGTAAAACAAGTGATAATCATGTTGGAAATGATTCGCACATGAAAATATCAGAGGTACAAGACCCGAGATTTGAACCCTTTTCATTCGGTTTCTTAAACGAACGCGCGACCACTGGGCTACAACAGGCTACGAAATTTCACTAAAAAATAACTTTATGAAAAAAAAAAAACAATTAACTGAAAAAAAAATAAGACTATTGCCCCAAAACTAACATCTTATCTAAATAATATGTAATCACTGAACGTACAATTTCATTCATAATGGCAATCACATGTAACGGAAGAACTTGGTTGTACAAATTACAAATGTAGTAATAGTGTGATTGTAAACAATTTTTTTATCAATCACTGGTCACAGCGGCTGGGTTTAAGGTCAGGCTGATGTCGCATCTACTGGGTTACGACAAGGACCGGTTTTGCGTGACTCATCCCGACCACATGTCTGTCGGTGAGTAATAAGTAATGAATGAATAATTTAAGGGAAACGGAACAAACTCTTAACAATTTATTAATAAATAACAAACATTACAAATAAAATAATATTGCTATGTATTTTCTTGCTTCTATTACATAAAGAATATTATATTATATAAATAAATAAACAATACTATTTAGATCTCCATATATATATATATATATATATATATATATATATATATATATATATATATATATATATATATATATTCCACGAGCCCTATATTGCTCCTTCATTACCTTATCTCCAGAACGGACCTAGAATACTAGAGGTTTTTTATGTTTTATTACCAAAATGTAACTTAATTAAATTTAATTAAATCCTTATATGTAGTTTTATAGTACACGGCGCACTCAATATTTTTTCAACGCAAGACGCGCACTTGACAAATTTTCGTGCAACACCTATATTAAAAATAGCTTAGATATAGGTAATTCAAATAATTTATGGCATTTCGCCTACACCAATATTTAATTGACTATTATATCCAATTTTACACACAGTTTAGTCACATAAAGTGCAAAGCCACAAAGACCGAAGCCATAAATCGGAAAATACGATGGATATTCTTGTATATTCCTATAAATTACATTTAACTTTAATTTTACTTATTGGGAAACGAAGCAGTATCGGAAACGTATCGTGGTTATGTGAATCAACAGATTGACTCATTGCCGATGACTCAAATGATCACTTATTACGATGTTACAAGGAAAACAAAAGGACACCCGACTTTAATGTGGTCAGTTAAGTCACCAGACAATAACGCCATAGCGGCATATGGACGTGGAGGAAACTTACCTAGTAAAACAATCTAGTACAGGAAAACAAATTTTAGTCATTCTATCCAGGGTTTAGGTCAAAATTTGCACCCATTTGCGAAATGTACGAATACAAATTCAAATAACAAAATTATCTAAATTGTACCTATTAGTAGCCACAAAAACAATTTTTCCAAATTATGGTTAAAAAAGCCATAAAAACTAACAGATCTCCAATTTTCCCAAAAGGAGAACTCATCACACAAGGGGTTGCTAATAGCCGTTTCCTTCTTGGCACGATTTTGTAAGTCTGTTGGCACGCTTTCAGTCGAACCGTCTCCTTACAAAGTATACTGGTCAAATGTTTTAATGAGACACGCCTGGTATTTATGTGGTTTTATTTGAACAACTTGTTTATGTTTTGCTATGTTTGAGAAACTACTGACTGGTTTTAGAAGAGAAATTTCTCTTGTAGCAATCATTTATATATTACCAATGCAAAATATATGATATAGAGAAAAAAATATCTAAGGGCTGCTAATATAATAAGAACATACGTACAACTTAAGTATACACTATACAGTACAACATAACCAACGGATTACATGACCCTCAGAATCTTTTAAGAATTTAGCAAAATTCTTTACCCAAAAGCTAGTTATTATTAAGCTGCATATACATAACATCTATACATATAATAAAATTCTAACTGAGTCGAATCTGTACATTAAATATTTTTTGGAAAATCATATTGAATTAGTCATTATTATTTATTATCGATACAGAGGCCGAATCTATAGTTTTTAGAATTTTCGTCTGTCTGTGACCGCATCACGAGAAAATCACATGACAGATTTTTATGGGTATGATGATAGCTGGTTATCCGGGTCAACATATAGAATAATTTGTAAACGTTAAAACGTAACTAAGGACGAACCCAAGCGGAGCGAGGGTGAGTCGCTAGTCTTTCAATACATGTGGCAAATTTTATTCATAACTTGTAACAGTTCCATTTAGAAAACAACATCACATCAAGTACACATCTCCACCTAGTGTATAATCACTAACAAATCCGAGTCTAATTAAAAACTGAGTCTAGCTACCTTATAAAGGAAAAAAAAACTAATAATATGAATGCAACAATGGAAGTTAGAACTTCGAGTCAATATGAACCCATGCTATTAATATTCAATGCCATGACAGTGTCTCATGACTAATCTTTGCCAAGTGACAAATTTTTAAATAAAATACGTGAGAGTCTGCTATTAAGTAATCTTGCACATAACGTACATACGTGATGACTAACCTAGTGTAATAAGTATAATGCTATAATAGATATACGAATAAAATAAACACTGTTATTAACTCAAGTGGCATATTGTATTGAAATCTGAAGAAAATATTGATTGTTACTACACATATATATATATATATATATATATATATATATATATATATATATATATATATATATATTTATATATATATATATATAATATAAAAAATAATCGCTGAATGTGTTGGTAAGCGCAAATCTCGAGAGCAGCTGAACCGATTTCGCTAATTCTTTTTTTAGAAAAAATTGCCTGAAAAAGTCTAAAAACAACACTTTTCTATACTCCCATACAAAAGATTCGTAATAATACTTAAAAGTCAATTTGAACTTTAATACCATACCATAAAGTTTACGTGTTAGTGGAGAGGTTCCGGGAAGGCAAAACATTGATGGCAATTGAGTGACGTTAGAATCGTATAAATATTAATGTCAATATTTGTCAATATTATTAACAAAAGAAATTAAAATTTATATGAGTAACGCTGGCTAATAACTATTTATATATATTTAAAACGTACCTAGCGACGAACTCGAGCGAAGCGAGTGTGAACCGCTAGTAAATAAATATTAGTATGGATTACACTTAATATTACAAATGGGAAAGTAACTCTGTCTGTATGTCTGTCTGTTACCATTTGACGCTTAATCCGCTGTACCGAATTAGATGTACGTATGAAGATAGAGACCCTGGGAAGGACACAGGATAGTTTTTATACCGGAAATAATCCCTTAAAGGGGTGAAAAGGGATAGAAGTTTGTACGAAAACTCAATCATTTATCGAGTAAGGAATATAAAACTCATTATAATCATACTTTTGATAAGAAATACTTTTCTGTACTTATTTATGTATATATAATCTATCTATTCCATACTAAGCGTTATAAATATAACAGTCTACGTGTAACGTTAAGAATATTTTCCTTCGACTTAGAATTATTAAACAATTTTGCTATATAATAATCATTTATAATATGACCTATGGACTTTAACCTAAGCTAAATTTATCTTGTCTAGATACAAAGGTAATAAAAAAAATACAAGAAGTCATGAACATAAATAAGTGAGTTTAGTAAACATGATCACGATTCACCATCGTTACAGAAAATTTCCGCAAAACCAACTCTGAAATGTATTGTTAATAGCAGATAATGAAAGTGTACTTGAGACAATCAATAAATACACTGTACT